CTTTGTTAAGGCTTATAACCAGAGAAAATTTGTAGCTCAATATGGGAAAATTGGTGGTATTGAAATTGATTTTAGATTATTTTTATTTCAGACATTATCAAGTACGGCATACTTAATCATGACTATTAGATTGTTATCATTGATCAATATAACTTTACATGGATTAGCACCGATTGATTTTATCTAATGCGAATTTCTGTCTTTGCTTGAGTTATTAGATGATATAAAATGAACATTCAATGTCCTATGATAGCAAGGGAAAGCAACGACGTATTATTTCATGTAAAAGATATTCTACAAGTACAGTGCCGAGTGTATCTCTATACAACAGTAGCCCCCCCCCCATTATGGCCCCATACGATATAATATAAAGTATCTAGTGGCCCTTGATTCGGATGAGTAATACAATTACGAGTAGGTTAACGGAGTACGGCAGTCCTAATTTTTAAATATGTGATATCATAGCGTACTGTGCACTTAATATTTAATTGCGGGTAGATTGTCTTTTGGGGGAGGAGATATTATGCCATACTGCTAGCAGTAGATGCTTCATCATCCCGTTTGATTCTATTGCAATTATTATTGTCTAGCTCATTGCCCAGCACCTTACTGATAATTTTGCGATATTAATAATGTGAACCTCATTCACAAAGAATGAGCTTGAAACAATTTGCTATCAATTCTAGTCGTTGTTGTTATTAGGGCTGTGAGGTATGTAAAAGTTATTTATAGCGTTTACTTTTTGTGTATGTATATGTTATGTTTTATCTAGAAGTATTGGCTTAATTTACCGGTGGTGTTTGCACCTTAAGGCTAGGGTAAAGCAGTAACAATATAAATTTCCCGAAAAGAAAACCATTTTCTTGTCGATAGAAAAATTTATAATCCCAAGTTTATTGCAAGTGTGATAAAATTGTCTTCATTTAGGATATTATGGCATACCGGACTTTGAGATTAATCATCATTTTCGATTGTTATTATTTACTCCTATAGTATTGCAATAAACAAACTCGGCGTAAATTGTTTGCTAATTTCCGCTACCGTTAGGTAATAAGAAATTACTTAAAATATACTCGTATTATTTTACGAGGTCATGTAAAGATTTCGAATATATGCTGCAGACTAAGGAATGCTATACTACAGTACAGAATTGACTTTATATAACGTTGGTGATGAAGTGCTACGAGATGCAATTTTTTCTGTTAAATATCTGTACACCAATATCACTTTGCTATCGGATAAATCGACGTTGGCCTTCAAGAACTGCCTATGTTTGCATCCTAACGGTACCATAAAATAAAATCGCTTGGAAAATTTGTAACCTTAAGAGTACAACAGCATTTTGTGTAGGAAATATGGCGGAAATGAATGGTATTGCGCTCGTTTTTATTTAAGATATTACAATATTCTACGTGAATCATAGAAGCAACTCAGGTCCATTTTTAGTTATCTCTATGGTATGAACATTCAGCGCTTTGGATTTGCTATAAGTTATTATGTGAAATTATTTACAAATGCTGTCAATCTTTAGGCTATTTTTGGATTATGAGGTCAAATGTAATGATTTTACCTGTTCAGCGCTCTTTAAACACATGCTAGGCCTGAATATACCGCGGAAAATAATTACGGTACATGTCGCAATATTGAAAATTATTCTACGATGCGGTATAACATTTGATGTAGATACTGACTTGAAAATGGTATAGTGTAGAACGATTTCTTAATCGGATGCCCTTGCTCGTAAACTACTTTTTTTTTTTCTATTAACGAGTCTGTAAAGGAATATTTTACTTTGGAATAGTTTGATGTCGGCCTTACATTGTTGCCAACGTTTGGTTCTACTTAGATAATCTAACATTGGAACGAGACTCCACTTGTGTTGAGGTTTTTAATCTGACGAGCATGACAATCTTCTATCAGAAAGTTGGCAATACAGTACCGTAATTTACTGTCAAAAAGATTGTTTAGATTTGGAATATTGCTCCATACTAGGTTGCTAATTATCATTCCTTTAGATGTTATCATTAGGCAATGAATAACATTAGTTGAGCGTGTCTATTTCTGCCGCTGTTTAATTAAGGCTGTATGGAAATAGATTTGCAATATCCTGTGGAGTAAGTTAGGAGAAAGTGCTATGATGTGTTTCCGGTATGCCCATC